CACTTTTGGGATACTAGAAACTCCCCCTTTGCGAACTGAAAGTGTGCACTTGTTGGGGGCTTATGAACTCAGCAACTAAGTTCACCGTTACTCCTATATCAACCTCCCTAAGCTTCCCAAAGGTCCCCTCAATGCCTACCCCCCCCCCCCCCTGCCCCGTCGGAACCTCCTTCCCTTCAGAACCCTATAATTAAAGGTCCAATGGCCCCTAAGTTGCGATATCTAGAGCCCAGATGTCTTCCATTCACATATATGAACCCTTTCAGGACCTTGAGGATACCTCACTGCGTCTAGTTGTCTGGTGCAGGTCCTCCGCCACGCCCTTCAGGGCGTGACGTGGCCTTCTGACGGGAAAGCCTGGGTCTTGTCTTGCTTCAGAGCTTCCCAGATCTTCCAAAACCCCTTAATTAAGGAATATACCCAAATTTGTACTAAGGATCCTTATAATATGAATTAGGGCATATTCCTAAAATAAGGGGTTTTGGGAGATCTGGGTTCATGTTGGAGCAGCTTGCTTGCATCTGCGTGATCACAAGCAGGGTTTCTTAAAGGATTGGGCTGGCTTGCTCATGCGTGTGGCTCATTACTTCAGCCACTTAAGTATGCGCCGAAACTCTGTGAAGGTCTAGAGACTAGAATGACTAGAATACTGGGTGTATGCGATCTGGGACCCTGGAGAATCCAGCTTTCTGACTGATCGGGTGTCATGACTTTATGCAGGGCAGATGATTTGCAAGGGTAAGTTCGGATTCACGAAGGTCTGTAGCCTTATTCTAGCCTTCAGGTATGCACAGGCAAGATCCGGCAGTGGGTGCTGGCTGCGAGCTGCTAGGTCTTGGAGATTGGCGCATACTGCGGATACTCTGCAATGAGGCCGCTTGCCGCACCCCCGAGAAGTCCTCCGTTCTTCCTTGTTTTGGAGGGATGCCCTCCCTCCTCAGCGAAGGTAGAGAGTACCTGCAAATCAGGGCTCGCGGCCGTCACGGCAGGGCCAGCACTATGTTTGTTCCCTGTTCCCTAAACCCCAAACCCTAAACCCCAAACCCCTAAGCCCTGAACCAATTCAACTCGCAGGATGTGCCAGGCGGGGCCCTCGGATCTTGCCTTCCGAGTTCAGAATCTCAGTTAGGGTTGAGGGTTGAGGGTTGTAGGGTTTAGGGTTTAGGGTTTAGGGTTTATAGGTTTTAGGGTTTAGGGTTTAGGGTGTTTCGCAAAGATTTCATCGGGAAGGAAGGAACCTCAGGGACCAATGGCTGTCCCTCAAGTCTTCAGTGGCATGTGAAGCTAGACGGTGTGTGCGCGCACACGAGGTGCAGGTGCGACGTATGTCGTGCTCAGTGTGCTTGGGCAGGGGAGCCCTTCATCTCCTACAGTCTCCCTTGCCAAGCGCAATAAGCTTCTGGCACAGGCATGCAAACCCAAACCCTATACCCTATGAACCCTGAACCCTGAACCCTGAACCCTAAACCCTAAACCCTAAACCCTAAACCCTAAACCCTAAACCCTAAACCCTAAACCCTAAACCCAAACCCTATACCCTATAAACCCTGAACCCGAGGCTGTGCCAGACAACGTGACGGCAGGCGCCCGAGCTCGTCCTGCGTCCCAGGGTTTCGAAACAACTGCGAAAGCGCGATTAGCACTTGGGGGGCCTGGGCAAAAGGGGGCGGGGGTTGTTCGTATTTGTTCTCCAAAGCGACGCTGGGAAGCAAAGAAGAATCGTATTCATCTGGGCTCCTTTACCCCCCTATAAACCCTAAAATGGGGGCTACCATACCTTCTACTATTATAGCTCCTATTACCCTAAACCCTAAACCCTAAACCCTAAACCCTAAACCCTAAACCCTAAACCCTAAACCCTCTACGAATCAACGCCAAGGTCACTTCGCTGGAGAACGAGCCAGTCCATGCCGTTGTGGCTCGGGGGCCCCAGCCACGAGGTTTTCGGGCTAATTTTTGTTTGGGTTATTGCGGGTCTAGGGTTTTTTTCGGGCCATTTGTTGGGTTATTGAGGGTTTTGGGTTTTCGGGCTTTTTTGCGGCTTTAGGGTTTTCGGGTTATTTGTTTGGGTTATTGGGGGTTTAGGGTTGGGCTTTAAGGGAGTTTAGGGTTTGGGGTTTTAATATAAAGGAGGGCTTGGCGCTTTTAGGGGCAATTAGGGTTTGGGGCTTGTCTAGGTTTTGGGGCTTAGGGTCCTTAGAGTTTAAGGCCCAAGGCAGCCCAATGCCCCCTGTTTGAGGAGCATAATGCCTACTCAGGTTCTGTTCCCGAATTCCGGGCTCAATTGGGTTGTCTGTCAGTGGGTAGGGTTGTTTGTGAGTGGGTAGGGCAAGGCAGCGGCAGGAAACTGGTGACCAGTTCTCTCGATGACGGTCGTTCGGGGGGTGTCTCTTAGAAATCGGTGCCTGAATCAGGGAACAGCAAGAGGGGCCATAGTTTAGAGACCCTCCCACATGTGCATGCAGGATGATTTCCTGCACAGGCCGCGTAGTAACACGTAGGAACATTCCACTTGCGCTTTGAAGCGTTGTATAGTACGTCATGCTCCTCTGACCTGGACATTTCAAAACCCAAAGCCCAGAACCAGATAAACCCTAAACTGCTTCATGTTGAGGCGATGACAATGCTGGCCCTTGCGGGCCTATCCGAGCGAGTACAGGCCATGAGCGAAGGATGTTTTGCCAGCCCTGACCTGGCTATCCTAGCTTCCTCGCCTTTCGTGACCACGCCCCCCCGAATTCTAGGGCTCTTTGCCATGACTCTAATATTGACCATTCATGACAGGCATGGCCGGAAATCTTCTGACGTAGGCAGTCTTCGCATCGCCAGCAATCCGATCGAATTTCAAAGCCGTGGAAACAGCCACCAAAGATGCAGCAGAGGTGAAAACGTCGGAAACCCTGGGGGCTTAGGGTTTAGGGTTTAGGGTTTAGGGTTGGGGCTTCAAAGGGTTCAGGGATTAGGGTGCCACACCAATACAGACCCTCAACATCCCAGTGTCGATTTCATGCGCCCTGAACGCTGACTTAGTTGTAGAGTAGGTAGCCTTTAACCTTTTCGGGGTAATATAACCCCCTTATAATCCCAAAGGTTAACCTTTAGTTCCCCCAGCCTACTGGACAACCCTAAACCCTAAACCCTAAACCCTAAACCCTAAACCCTAAACCCTAAACCCTAAACCCTAAACCCTAAACCCTATAAACCCTAAACCCTATAACCCTATAACCCTATAAACCCTAAACCTGAAGGTTCGTGTCGGTCACAGTGAGCACTTACTCCCACGTCTTGTGGGCAACCGCTTCCAGGCAGTTGATGCCTCAGTGCTAGGGTTCAGGGTTGGGGGGACCAAATCAACCATGGAAAGGGTTTGGGGCTCATGCTTCCTTACTGGGGCTTGTATTTGTACAGAATACAGGGTAGATGACCACAGTTTTTTGGGCTGTTTAGGTACCTGGACCCTAACCCTAAACCCTAAACTCCAAACCCTTGTATTCCCTATTTGGGTACATGGACCCTTAGGGTTATACCAAAAAGCTGTCATGGCAGGAAGGGGTTAGGGTTTAGGGTTTAGGGTTTATAGGGTTTAGGGTTTAGGGTTTAGGGTTTAGGGTTTAGGGTTTAGGGGTTACTTGGCCAAGGTCTTCATGGACTCCCGGGGCTCCTTCTACGCGTCGGCCTCGGGCGTTTAATGTTGACTCCCAAGGGACAAAAGGAGGGTTTAGGGTTGAGGGTTTAGGGTTTAGGGTTTAGGGTTTAGGGTTAGGGTTTAGGGTTTAGGGTTTAGGGTTTAGGGTTTAGGGTTTAGGGTTTAGGGTTTAGGGTTTAGGGTTTGGGGTTTGGGGTTTGGGGTTTAGGGTTTAGGGTTTAGGGTTTAGGGTTTAGGGTTAGGGTTACAGGAGGACCCTCCTTTGTAAGGGACCTTAGGGGGCTACTTAGGGGCTACTTCGGTATAGGTTTTTTTTGAGGTTATATAGGGGAATAAGGTTAAGGGTCCCTTCTAGAGTCCTTAATACCCCTTAAGACTCTGCTAACCCATGACCATAAGCCCTACTTGGGACTCTCTTTACCTACAGATTCATTGTTTATACTAGGTTCAGGATTTAGGGTTTAGGGGTTTCGGGTTCATCTGATTAAGGGTAGAGTCCCAGCTACACCCCAAACCAAACCCGAACAAACCCCGGCCGCAGGGCCGTAGGGTTTGTTCAGTGGCGTGGGCTTTGTATGGGTTTGGGGCCCACGGTGATTTTAGGCCACACCCAAACGTCCCACACCCCAACACAAATCCTAAGCCCTAAATCTTAGGTTCTCTCTGCAGTTGCCCCTTGGAGCATGGCTAGACGGGTGGCAAAAAACACCTTAGATGCATTCGTGTTCCAAAGCCAAGGCAGGGCATGAGGAACTCAGAGTCAAGGGGGTGCTCGGCGCGCGCCATGTGGAAACCCCCTAACAGCCCCCTACTGCGTGACTGCTAGAGGGCTGCCAGAGGCTGCAGAAGAAGTGTCGGTGCCATGGGTTGGGTGCATGCGCGTAGGAGAGAGCAATCGCCTGAGAGAGCGGAGTCGAGAGAAAGAGAGCGCGAGCGCGAAAAAGAGAGAGAGAGAGAGGGGAAAGCGCAAAGAACAAAAGCAAACAGCCAGTACAGGTTGCACGCAGGAGCGATGCGGAGAGTTGTGGCAGAGATTCCTTCTGTTTGAGTGGGAGTGTCGGGTGGCAGCGCGGTCCCTGAACGATTGAACTCTGCGGGAGGGGGGTGGGGGTGGGGGGCTTTGAGATATTAACTGAATGTATTGAGAAGGAACCCAGTAGCTGCGCGGCGTGATTCTTCACGGACGCACTCCTCCCTCAGAAGTTGCAAAGTTGCAGTGTAAAGCTTCAGCCGTCTTTCCGAGCCCCAAAGCAGTCTGAAAGCCGAAAGAACTCTGCCTAAACCCCTTCACAAGGGCTATTGGCTCAAGCCATTTCGGTCACGTCGATCTGCTGGCTCCTTGGAACAAGCGTTCATGCTGGCGAAGCTCGTGTTCACAACTCTTGTGGCTTGGGCACTTGCAGATTCGGCACGAGCAGCAAATGGAACATCGAACGTGTCCAGCGATCGTCCTTCAATGCCACTGGAGCACCATCGAAACTCAAGCGACGAGCAACGCGCAGCCATCTCGAAGAATCTGAGCGGAGAGGCGAACGCCTCCGCGATTCTGAGCACGGATGTGAACCTGTCGAGCTTCCCACAGCCTTCCTTAAGAGGTGGAGCCTCCCGCGCTGGGTGGACTTGTTGCTCCAAGTACCAGGTACCTTGGGGAGCAACAGAACCCGAAAAGGGTTCATCGGTCATATACCATATAATGGGAGCTATAGGTTTAGGGTTAGGGTTTAGGGTTTAGGTGAATAGGAGCTATAGCAGTAGAAGGTATTGATGGCCCCAATTTGTTGCGGTTCATTTGGTCCCCAAGGTACGGACTGGAAGTTACCATACTGCGGAGATGTACTTGCATTGGTGCCTTCAGCAACTGGGCACCCCGTGGTATTGTTTCTTGTGATTTTTCTGGTTCTAGGTTAACCAAACCCAAAAACGGGTACCCTATTTACAGCATGGTTTAGGGGTTAGGGGTTTAAGGGTTTAGGGGTTTAGGGGTTTAGGGTTTAGGGTTTAGGGTTTAGGGTTTAGGATTTAGGGCTACCAAGGCAGAGCCACTGCCAGGGCTGGACGAAGGAGTGGCTGACAGGCCCTGCAGGCATTCTCGTTCACTGTCAAGGAGGTTGCAAGGCAATCCCACAGCCTTATCCTTGACATGGGGTTTAGGGTTTAGGGTTTAGGGTTTAGGGATTTGGGGTTTAGGGATTTAGGATTTAGGGTTTAGGGTTCAGGGTTTCGGGTTTAGCGTTTTAGGGTATTGGGGTTTTAGGGTTTTAGGGTTTTGGGTTTAGGGTACACGATGATATCTTTCGATGGGCGCAGCACAAGGCATGGAGTGCCTTGTGTTTTTGGAGGCCTTTGTCTAGCAGCAGCTGCCCAAGTCCACTCCAAGATGTGCGGTGACGGACCCAAGATCCTACTGCCAGGAGGCGATAAGGAGCTGCCATTTCCGGTCTCGCTTCGTTTGTGTTCTTGACCCGAGGCACCTGTCTAGAAGACACGCTCGCGGAACCTCTTGTGAACACGAAAAGGCCTAGGGCGTGTCCTTGCAGCATATTTCATGGCCAAGCTCAGGAATCTGCGTTTTGCCTCCTCCTTGCCTCCCTCCCCCTCCCCCTGCCCCCCCCCTCCCGGCCCTCCGACCCCCCCCCTCTAAACCCTAAACTCTAAACTAAAAACCCTATAGTAGACCCTTAACCCTTAAACCCTAAGCCCTAAACTCTAAACCCTACACCCTAAACCCTAAAACCCCAAAAACCCCTAAACCGAAACCCCTAAACCGAAAACCCTCAAACCCCTAAACCCTAAGCCCTAAACCCGAATCCCAAGGATGGCGAGGTGGCCTTGATGGAGAAGTACCACTTGCTCTCGTCGCGAACCCGGGCGCGGAAGCAACGGGTTGCGGGGCTCATGGGGCAGAGAGTCGACTTCGGGGGGGGCTTTTAGGGCATAGGGTTTAAGGTTTAGGGTTCAGGGCTTAGGGTTAATATGCTGCTACGTGTTTTTTGTCCAAGACCCCCCTCCAAAAAATTGCCAGATTCGACCTTGTAAGGGAAATATGGACGAGATTACTATTTATGAGTTTGTGGGTGGTTCTTAAGCTAGTAGTAGTATATGAGGATTTCCTCATTGAAATAGTTTGTTTTTGTTTGGGGTGGGGATATTCTAGTATGACCATATAAGATAGGGACCATAAACGAATCCTACTAGCTCCGACTACTGGGTTTTAGGGCTTGTCGGGTTTTAATAAGAATCTTCGGGGATGTTCCCCCTCACACTAACAGTCCTTAATAGGGCTTATAGTAGCCCTGTTATAATCCCTAGTAAGGACTGTTAGTATAAGGGGGAACATCCCAAGTTCTCCCTCTAATCCTGATTCCGCTGTGATCTCTCCCTGGCGGCTTTAGGTGTCTTTACACCTTGGGGTGTCGGATTTCTGGCATCCAGAGTATGGGTTCAATCAAAGAAGGGTTAAGGGTTTTTTGGGTTTTGGGTTCAGGGTTATCGAACAAGTCCAGGCGCAAACAATGTTCAGGGCCATGCAGACTTGTAGTATCCGCATGGAATTAGGTACTCAAAGCCGAACATGGTATGGCTTGTGGTTCCTGCCTCCTTAGCATGAAGTCCTTAGCCCGAAGCCCTGCAAGCGGTCCTCTGGATAATGCGAAGTCTGCCGGCCGACAACATACAGATACCCCCTGGTTCTTATAGTAGGGAATGAGGGAATGAGGGCCCTATATGTCCCTTAAAGGGTATTTGGGTGGTTGTCAAAATGTTGGTCTCTTTTTGGATCCCTATAATCATACGGCACCTAATATTCAGTGTACCCCAATAGAGGGATCTTTTTTTTGACATCCACCCATTTAGAGGGCCCTCATTCCCTCATTCCCTACTAACAATAAGCCAGGAATATCACATCTTGCAAGCATCTCTCGGCTTCCTGAAGGGGCAGACGGCACGCCACATGCCCACGTGCCATGCAACAAGTCATCCTAGGACACGATCTGGGTCCCTAAATTACTAAACCCTAAACCCTAAGCCCTAAACCAGTCTAAACATCACAGCCCGGTTGCAGAAGGTCTTAGGGCGAGTCAGGCGCGCAGCGTCAACTATGCAGCCCGTGCGCACAGAACTCGATTGCCAGGAAACAGGTTGTGTTCATCTTCTGTTGAGAGTCGCGACGAGCCCTCGTGGCCTGGTATAGCTGCCATGGCCAAGGGCCAAGCGCCCCACCCAGGAAGCTGGAGATTCGAAGGTTCCGACGACACGTGGGAGCTTCGCAGCGCGGCATCCGTTTCTCTTCTGCCTCCTTCCTTTCGCCCTTAAGGGTCCATGTACCGCAATAGGGAGTACTTGGGCGTTTTAACGCACCTCCTATAAGGGACTTTTGGGGCATAAAAATCGTAATAATGAGAATAATAACAATAATAACGTGGTACACGGACCCTTAGGGTTCTATAGGGGAAGAATGCTGGGAGTTGATTGCAGTGTAGATACGATGCGCCCTTTTCACTCGGCAGCCCTAAACCCTAAACCCTAAACCCGAAACCCTAAACCTTAAACCCTAAACCCTAAACCCTATACCCTATACCCTATACCCTATAAACCCTAAACCCTTAACCCGGTATGGTAAGAAAGGGCTGCATCACCTTCTTGTCGGTTCTAAATTTGTTGTAGCTGTTCATCCCTCATATTGTTGTATTGTTCCGGTATTCAGGTCTTTACTAGTTTTTTAACATGAACGCAGAATGGTTAGATGCGCGGTCGGCACGAACTTAGGCGAAGTGATTTGGCTCGTGTTGTTTGCCGTGCTGGTGTGCAAGGTGGAAGGAAGGGCTAGGACTAGGAAGAGTCCTGCAGCATGGCTCCCTTGGGCTCATGGTCTCGTTCAAATCAACCAAGTCCGACTGTCAAAGCTTGCGGGAAGCAGGCGGCAAAATCCGAAGACCCGAAACCCAAGACTCAAGTTAGAAGAAGTACATGGCGAATCTGGGAAGATCCTGAAGGTTCTTCAATTGAGGGCTTGCTATGCTGGCCAACTCATATAGAAGGCTCAGATGTTTGGCCTTGTCCCAGGATCACGGGTTTCCCTGCTACCCCCCTCTAAACCCTCAACCCTAAACCCTAAACCGCTTCCGTTGCTGTCGCAACAAAGGCAGGATGCCCATATCTCGACGTCCTCGCTTGATGCCACCTTGGCTGCAGAGTCTAGGTTTTGGGAAAAAGGTTTTAGGGTTTAGGGCTAGGGTTTAGGGAAGGCGAGGATATGCGGGCGTCTGGCAGCTAGCAAGTCCAGCTTCACATCATTCAAAAGGGTTGAGGGCTAGGGTTTAGGGTTCGGGGCTTGCTTAGGAACCCTGTTTGCACCTCTGAGAAAATTTCTCAATCCCGAGCCCTACCCAGTCTTCACAGGCCTTCGGCCTGGATAGGGGAGGGGGGACTGGAGGCTTTGAAGACTTTGAAGCTGATCTCTTATGTAAACCGCAAGCCCCGAAAACCCTATGGGTTTAGGGTTTAGGGTTTAGGGTTCACAGTGCAGACGCGATCAGTTGCTCAGATTCAGAGACAGCGCCGAGTAAACACTGGGAGGGCATCTTATAAGTTGCTGTAAATGAGAGGCTGGGACCAAGCTTGACAGTCCTGGCGCCGCCGCGACAGCCGAAACAGGTGCTGGCCCCCGGTTGTTTCAAGGCTCTAGGGCATTGAGGAAGTTTAGGTTCTAGGGTTTAGGGTTTAGGGTTTAGGGTTTAGGGTTTAGGGTTTAGGGTCCTTTGCTGCTTGCTGTTGGTTCATTCCAAACTGCTTGAGTGAGAGTGAGGATGAGTTGGGCGTTTGCATGTCGCCGATTGAGACGTCGGGCTATGTGAGCGTATCTGCAGCTCGCGCGGTATCATGCTGATTGGACGGCCATTTGCATGACATGTAGGTGGGCTTACTTGGGTCACAGTCATAGAGTCGATCCTCCCAATGTGTATTGTTACAGTAAAGAGAGTTGCCCGGGACCCGGGAACCCGGCACGCCGGTCACCTCCAAAACTAAGTTAGCTTACGCAGCCCGCGATACAGCCGTCACTAGCGGTCACGTGACTATCGCCAGTCCCGGCTGCATCGCGGGCTCTCGAACGGAATATTCAAAAAGAGGAAACCAAACACAGGGGTAACCGCAAAACCTTCATTATACAGCCTCGATCCACATGCCGAAAGGCACGCTGTTTCTCAAACCCTAAACCTTAAACACTAAACCCTAAACCCTAAACCCTAACCATGTTGCGCTCCGGGGGATTCTCACCTACTGCGGCCAAACTCATGTTGGACTCACGTGAGACACTCATCGTGTATCGTTCAGGGCCAGAGTGCCACTGTAGCTCCAACCCTGAGAACCCAACATCCCTTATATTCAGGAAAATACCTATCCCTAGGGCTCCAAGTGAACGAATATTACCTACCTACATTTTAGGGTATGATATAAGATACAAATTAAGGTATATTCTGATTCTTTGATGTTCGCGCTACGCGACCCGCCTCGGCCGGGGCCTGCCCAGCGGCGAGGCCAGCCCTAACCGGACATCGTGGGAGCTAAGGTGCTTTCTGGCTTCAGGGCTGGCGGACAAGTCCTTGAAGAGTAGCGAGCGAGTCCTGCAACCCTGAAGCCTAAACCCTACAGCCTAAACCCTAATCATCAAGGCCAGCGCGCGTCCAAGACTACGCGGCAAGTTCTGCCTGAACATACGGAAGCCAGAGGTCTAAGGGGCCATGTACCCATATAGTACATACTTGGGCCCGAAGGGTTCAGGGATTAGGGTTTCGGGTTTAGGGTTTAGGGAAGCTACTATCCGGGAACCCCGCTAAAGCACAACTATATACCATATAGGTACATGGACTCTTAGGGAGAGAGTCCAATCGAGTGGATGCAGAAGGAAGGAAGCCTAAGAGCGTCGGGTGGCGCTCTGGTCCTGCGGTTTAGGGTTTAGGGTTTAGGGTTTAGGGTTTAGGGTTTAGGGTTTAGGGTTTAGGGTTTAGGGTTTAGGGTTTAGGGTTTGCCCCTGGGCACCCGTCGGCTCGGGGGGGGGGGGGGGAGGGGTTACCCATTCCGAGCAGAAAAGTACAGGTGTGTAGGGTTTAGGGTTTAGGGTTTAGGGTTTAGGGTTTAGGGTTTAGGGTTTAGGGTTTAGGGTTTAGGGTTTAGGGTTGAGAAATAGGGACTAGAGCCTAAAGGTGGGGTACACTTGCTGGCCTAATCCTCGGCAGCTCTCTGGGGAGAGTTGATTACACCCTGACCCAACTACTACAACCTTCAACATATCTAGGATGCCCAGTAGTACCCTTATTCCCTTTTGGGGGGGGTTTTAGGTTCCCTTAATTACCCTTTAAGCCAAAAAGGGCACCCTTTTTAATCCTAGGTTACTGGGCAGCCTAGATATTAAACGATGTTCAATGTCAGCTGGTTGTATTTACAAGGTGCCATAAAATTGCAAAAATCTTCGAAGGGCTTTTGTTCAAGCCGCACTTCAGCTAAAACAGCTCTTGTAGCTCTACGTACGAACTACCCGTACTGCCCTCCCAAAAGCTTACCCTAAACCCTAAACGCTAAACCCTAAACCCTAAACCCTAAACCCTAAACCCTAAACCCTAAACCCTAAACCGCGCAGCCATGCCAGGTGCCTGAAGAGGATGACCTGGAGGTTCTGGAGCCTTGCAGCAATGACGAAGACCAGGCCCCCAAAGAAGGGCTTCAAAGGCTTTAGAGGCTTGTCCGGAGAAGGCTCCAAGGTTTAGGGCTTAGGGTTGACCCACCCAGCCCAGATGGAAAACAAAGGGTTTAGGGTTTAGGTATACCAAGAATACAAGCCCGGAGGCTTAAATGCTACCTACTTTTGGGTTTAGGGTTTGGGGCTCAAGGCCCGTTGAGGGCTGAAGGGGTGCAATGGACTAGTTGCAGTTCGCACACAAGTGCCCTCGTGTGGCGGTTGTACAAGGTGGAAACCAAAGCCCGGCATCCACCCTGCATAGATAGATTGCTCCACTTTTGTAGGTCCAACGATGCCACCCACTTCCTTTCGCCTTCCGTGTCTCTCAGGCTCTAAGACTCTCATAGGGATAGGAGTGACCGTCTGACAGGTCTGATACTCGGGGAAGAAACCCTGAACCCCAACCCCTGATGGTGCTGCAGAAGCCCTAAACCCTAAACCCTAAACCCTAAACCCTAAGCCCTAAGCCCTAAGCCCTAAACCCTAGCAACCTCGCAGACTCCCTTGAGGCGTCACTCCGCGAAAAGCAGTCAGTGCCCGAGTCTCCCGGGATGGCGACGACATGCCCCCCTTCCACCTCCCTGGGCTGCGCTGCTTGGCTTAGGGTTTAGGGTTTAGGGTTTGGGGCTTGGGGCTTGGGGCTTGGGGCTGTTGGGCTCAAAACGGCTTAGCCTGTAAGGCTCCAAGTATACAAAGAATACCTATCAATTGGGTCTAAAGCCTGTAAATAATACCTACTTTAGGGTTAGGGATATGCAGCCATGCGCGGTTTCTGTTGTTGTTTTTGGGGGCCGCGTGGGGGGGCGGGGGGGGGGCGCGGGCAAAGAGGGTTATAGGGCGTAATTGGCATCGTAGGCTCCAGCGACCAAAAATGATTAAACCCTAAACCCTAAACCCCTAAACGACTACTACAGGACACCCCTGGACTGGAATCGACGGGCTTTCCGGTTCCGTTCGAGCCGGATCCTGCATCGAAGTCATCGACGTTCTGCTCTTCATGGGACTCCCGCCCCATCGGTATCACGGCGGCAGAGTTGCAGGGTTCAAGAGAGGGTTTAGGGTTTAGGGTTTAGGGCTTAGGGTTCAAGAGCGGGCACTGAAGATTAGGCCAAGATCCGCGCAAGTTCGATACGTTTCGGGTCTCATTTGGGTGCTTGTCAATAGTTATGATCCCTTTTGGCATTTGGGGTACCCTAAATATTCGGTGCCGTAATATAAGAGGGATCCAAAAAGGGACCATCTTTTAGACAACCACCCATTTCTGTTTCGAGGGCTTGGGGGCTTGGGGTGTGGGACACTTGAGCAAAATTGGCCGGTCGCGTGCTGTGCGGCCCGGCTTTGCACGCAGTTCTTCGCGCTACATTGAAGTAGAAAGATTATCAGACGATAGTTCTGTGTATATGAGTGTATATCTGTATGGTTATTTCTTTTGTCAGAATTATTCCGCGGAGCCCAACGGACATGGTCAACATCCGAAACTTGGCAATGAAGCCACCCCGCGTGAGCCGAACCCTAATTCCACCCCACGTGCGGTGAACACGACTAATCCTAAAACAAACCCGAAGCCTTGAGCACCCACATTCTGTGTCTACCCCTAAGAAGCCTACACCCGAAGCTCACGATGAGTAGAATCTCCCGTACAATATCTCCTCCAACCCAAAGAACCCTAAGTACCCATATTGGGGTCACTTACCCAAACCATAATACTAATTCCTATTCCAGAAAACCTACTTTCTACTATGTAGGTGCTTAGGACCCTTTGGGCAAGTCCCCGGCAGCAAATTCGCACATCACAGGGCGCATCAGGGCACTGTCTTAGGGCGCAACGTGGATCTCTGCTTCCCTAAACCCTAAACCCTAAACCCTAGACCCTGCACCCTAAACCCTAAACTTCCTAAACCCTAGACCCTAAACCCTAAACCCTAAACCCTAAACCCTAAACCCTATAAACCCTAAACCCTAAACCCCGGTAGTCATATCTTCTTCGGGGTCAGGCTTGGAGCTTACGTTGAACGTTCACTACGCTTGCTTGGTGGTGGCGTCCTTAGGTATTTTCTTTCTCATTCATATGGATCCTCGCCCGCTTTTGCCAGAGTAAGAGTCGAAACCCTAACCCCACCCCCCCCCCAAAAAAAAAAAAAAAAAAAAAAAAAAATATATATATATATATATAATAAAATAATAATGAAAAAAAGGTAATAATAGTAGTAGTAATACTAATAATGATAGTAGTAATAAAATTAATGATAATAAGCGAACCTCCAGGTCACCACTATCCAGACGATGTAGCTCTCCCGCCTGACCGTAGAACACATCAGCTCTACGTGCGGTTCTTGGACCAGTACTTGGAGGACTGCACTTTGAACAATCGTCCGAGGGTTCCGAGCATGCGAGAATACAAACAACTGCCTCAATTTGTGTCTAAAGTTCATGAAGAACACCTGCTTTGGGCTATTTGGAGCCTTAAGGTTGGGGTGTCGGCGGCTTAGGACCAGCACGAAGGTTCAGCAATGTCCGGTCACATTTCCTTTCGCTTCCTGGGTTTAGGGTTTAGGGTTTAGGGTTTAGGGTTTAGGGTTTAGGGTTTAGGGTTTAGGGTTCCTTTCATGGCCCGTGAGCCATAAAACAGTTCGTTGCAGGTAAGCTCATTCGGTTGCTCGTGCTCCGGCTTCCCATCCGTGGTTTGTGGCGGCGGGTCCGCGGGATGGCTCGTTTAGGGTTTAGGGTTTAGGGTTTAGGGTTTAGGGTTTGGGGTTTAGGGTGTGGGTTTAGGGTTAAGGGTCTTGAACCCTCTGCTGCTCCAGTGCCGGCCCCTCAGAGAGCCTGGGTTCAAAAGGATTCAAGACCCTAAACAGAACCCTTAAAAAACCCTCATAAACCCTTAGAAACCCTTAAAGGCCCTAAACCCTACTGTACACCCTAAACCCTTTAAGGGCCCTTGGAAACCCTCATAAACCCTTAGAAACCCTTAAAGGCCCTAAACCCTACACCCTAAACCCTTTAAAGGCCCTAAACCCTAAACCCTAAACCCTACACCCTAAACCCTAAACCCTTGAAAGGCCCTAAGCCCTATTTAGGTTATTGAGAATTCAGCGCAAGGACGTGCAGGATGACCAGCGCGGCTTCAAGGGAGCTGTTCCTTGGGGACCAAATTGAACTCCTTTAGGGTTTAGGGTTTAGGGTTTAGGGTTAGGGTTTAGGGTTTAGGGTTCAGGGTTTAGGGTTTAGGGTTTAGGGTTCACACACCCCCAATAAGGGCTATAGTAGTCTAGGGCATGGTGACCCCAGTATACTAGGATTCCTTTGGTCCCAAAGGTTCTTCGCCGCCGCCGACGGGACTTCATCCCAGACGGTCTTCAAGCGAGATATTCCTCCTTGATGTCAGCCATGACTCGGCACAGCTTCTTTGTCATCCTGGGGGGGTAACATTTTGCATTTTTGTAAGGGTACTTAAGCTCAAGAAGGAATGCAAATTCACATGTTTATTACAATCCCAGCCATGAACCAGGCAATGCGAGAAGATCCAGATCAGCCAGCTTTGAGCGGCGGTGCTAGAGTGTTCTGCGAGTTCCATGCGAAAAGATCCAGATCAGCCAGCTTTGAGCGGCGGTGCTAAGAGTGTTCTGCGAGTTCCCAGGGCTCCAAGTATACAAGGAATACCTACATTGAAGTCTAAAGTCTGTAAGTACTACCTACTTTGGGGTCTGTTTGGAGCCTTAGGGCGTAGGGATCTTCTGACAGGTCAGTTTCAGTCCCGTGGTCTGGCTTCCGTCAGAGGACGTGGAAGCCATGACGTGCGCAAGTTGCTATGGACTTGCTCGCGTACCCAAAGGGTCCTAAGTACCTACATAGTACAAAGTAGGGGTTTCTATAATAGGAATGACTATTATGGTTAAGGTGAGTGTCCCCCATATAGGTACTTAGGATTCTTTGGGGTACTCTGCAGCAGAACAATGTTGTGTTCTGAGAGCCAAGCTGGGCTTGCTCTCAAGGGTATTGACTAGAGATGTTTATGAATATCCCTGTGACACAGCGTTGTCTCCGGCTGAGAGGTGCAGGCACACAAGCTATAAACCCTAAGCCCTAAACCCTAAACCCTAAACCCTAAATTTCGTAAATGTTGCGGAGCAGAAGTGCACCAATCAGAAGGTAACGCAAGACACTGGGGCACGCAAAGGAAGATCAGCGTCCCTTGAGCCGTGAACCGGTAAGGACTTGGGGACCAACATGAACCCTAAAGTTGGGGATCGTAGGGTTTAGGGTTTAGGGTTTATTGTTTGGGGTTTAGGGTTTAGGGTTTAGAATTATAAACCCTAGACCATGAAGCCTAGCGCCTGGTGGGGTTCACTTGGTCCGCCAGGCAAAAGCAGCTGAAGTGGTGCGTTCCCACAAGTCGGTCCCCCCACTTCACCCCAGTTCCGCATTCGACAATTGTTGACGCAACCAAAGCCAGGCTTGCTGGGTCTCCCAAACCCTCAACCCTAAGCCCTAAACCTGTTTGGGAAATGTGGATCCTTACAATGCCCCTTGAAGGGATAGCCCTAAAAGCCCTGCACCCCGAAACCCCAAACCCCCTTACTGAGAGCCAGTAAGCTTCTGTGCTTTCCAGGTTCGTTTTCTCCTGCCACCATGTTTTTGCCTGACCTGCAAACCGCCCCCATGGCTTCGTCTGATAACTTGAGAAGCCGGGGGCATGCGCTACAGGCGTTAGGGTTTCTAGGGTTCATAGGGTTAATAGGGCTTAGGGTTAGGTATTAGGGTTTAGGGTTGGTAGGGTTTAGAGGATTTTTAGGGTTTATGGTTTGGGGTCCGAGCAGGCGTGTGGCAAGAGTCCTAAAGCCAGGCCACTTGTCGCCTGCTGCCGAAGACGGGCATGACGCCGCTGAGCAGCTCAGAAGCTGTGCCGCCTCATGCCTCCACCATAACTTGCTGTAGGGAGTGATGTCTGTGTGAAGAGTACATATACCAAACCCTAAGCCTAAACTTTAGGAACCCTTTCTACGCCCTCAAGACCCTCTACACACCCCCCTGCAAACCCTAGACCCTCTATTTATTTATATATATATATATGTGTACATATATATATATATATGTATAGATATAGGTATATATATATATATATGTTCCCGGTTCTCGGTCCCCCCCCCCCCCAACCACCCCCCCAAACCCGAAACCAGAACCCTAAACTCCAAACCCTAAAACCCTAAACCCACAACCACGCCACGGGGGGGGGGGGGGGGGGGAAACCCTCAACCCTAAACCCTAAGCCGTAAGCTCTAAGACCTAAACCCTAAGCCCTAAACCCTATACCCTATACCCTAAACCCTAAACTCTAACCCTAAACCCCTAAAACCCTAAAACCCTACAAACCCTAAAACCAACCCACAACCACACCACGAAGGCGCCTCAACCCCCCCCCCCCCCCCCCCTTAAAGTAGCCCGAACTAGGCTTAATTCTCCCTCTTAATTGAGGGGGGGGGGACCAGGGGGGGGGGGTAGTATAGAGGAGCCCAAAGAGCCACATAGGGACCCTTAATATGTTTTAAGGTATATTGCTGAATGAAGGGGTATTGGGCTCTTTGGGAGGGTAGTAGGGTGAAACCCTAAACCCTAAACCCTAAACCCTAAACCCTAAACCCGGTGGTATAAACTGTATGAACATTTACCCTTTTGTTTTGCAAAACTCCTGCCCCCCCCCCCCCCCCCCAAGGCCATGGAGCCCCTGGCTTGAGGTTTAGGGTTTAGGGTTTAGGGTTTAGGGTTTAGGGTTTAGGGTTTAGGGTTTAGGGTTTAGGGTGCCCTTTCGCCGACTTTTGCCCCTTTTGCTGGTTCAAGGCTCAAGGGCTCCCTATTCTAAAGGAACCACCACCCCCCCCCCCCCCCCAAAAAAAAAAAAAAAAAAAAAAATAGGGTTTAGGGTCGAAACTCTCCAGAACATCGTTCTCTTGGGGCTGTGTAAATTTTATTGGGCCCAGGCCTGTACTCAAAGTCGACCAGGTGTGCATTTATTTCGTTGGGATGGCAATACTTGCGTATTCTTCAGCATATGTTGATACTCGTGCTTCTAAGTACACTTGTTATCGTTGCTATTGTTATAATCACCGTTTCAAGCATTACCTTATGTCAATACATGTGTTTTTTTTTAAAGCTACATTGGGTTGTCGTTTCTTGTGCGGCGCATGTGTTGTGGGAACTTGAAGCTGTGAATAGTGGTGGAGGAGGCGACTCTGGCGATCAGGCACATTGGTGGGGAAACGGTGTCGGTCCCGCCTGAGCTTTTGACCGGCTTGACCTGGGACTCATGCGTAGGCGAGGGACGCTTGCAAGCCGGTTTGACTTGGCTTTCTAACTGGCTGGCTCTTAGGACTTTAGCCTTTTCGGGTTTTTTTTGGTAGAAACTACAATAAGGAGCCTATGAGTTAAACTCTTAGGATGGGTTCAGAAGTAACCCTAAACACTAAATCCAAAAGTTAACGTTTACTGGGAGTTCAGAAGTCAGCCAAGTTAAGACGCCTGCCAGCGTCGGCCGGCTGCATGAGCCGAGGCGCCGTTGAGCTTTTGACATCTGGCATGGTGCTGGCACTTGAGACGCGAGAAGTAGCTATCTCGCAGAGCTTCCTCTCCAGTGCAGCCTCTACGCAAACGGCAGCGGTGCCCAGTGCAAGCTATATGTGACCTTCATGACGTTCATTCAGTCCATGGGTCTTGTCAGTGCACCGCAGACTGCTTCGTAGAGCATCCGATGCCGGTACTCTAGCTGAACATGACGTTAAGCCCTGTGGGTACATTCGGTGCGCAGCAACAATGCCTGGTTGCATAGGGACTTTCACTTAAACTTAAACTTCCGGTGTTCCTCGATCGTGTCCACGCAGGAACCTGACAGGAGGGTGGGGGAGGGGGATTGGTGCCCGGCCGCTTAGATTCGACTGCAGATGCACATTTTCATTCATCAATGGCAGCTCCAGGCATTTCCGTATACATGTTTCCCTGTCCTGCCGCCTTGGCTCTGACACAGATGGAGGCCTAGTGACTGCCTGAGGGCAGCATTGACTCCTCAGCGAACAGCATCTGCTTCAATGGAAGTGAAGAGCAATGCAAGCAGGGTTTAGGGTTTAGGGTTTAGGGTTTAGGGTTTAGGGTTTAGGGTTTAGGGTTTAGGGTTTAGGGTTTAGGGTTTAGGGTTTAGGGTTTAGGGTTTAGGGTTTAGGGTTTAGGGCACTCCTAAACCCCGAAGCGGCCTCGGCATTTCATGCGACCATCGAACACAGCAGCTGCCATGGAGAAGGGCTCAGTCCAAGGCCACCTGGTCTTAACCCGCCCCAACTACAATAGAATCTAGGGTTTGCCCCAGAACTACAATAAAGTTTAGGGTTTGCCCCAGGGCTACAAGTATGCAAATATGACCTACATTGGGGTCTAAAGTTTGTAAAAGAATGCCTACTTTTGGTTTTTGGAGCCTTAGGGCTAGGGAAACCCTAAACCCTAAACCCTAAACCCTAGGGTTTAGGGTTTGGGGTTTCGGGTTTCTCGAACTACTGGACATAGATGCAGTACCAAAATCCCATACTATATAGGGCACCCCTTCCATTCATGCATCATGTGACGCCACCCTTGGTTTAGGATTTTGGGTTTAGTTTAGGGTTTAGGGTTTAGGGTTTAGGGTTTAGGGTTTAGGGTTTAGGGTTTAGGGTTTAGGGTTTAGGGTTTAGGGTTTAGGGTTTAGGGTTTAGGGTTTAGGGTTTAGGGTTTAGGGCCTTGATGCCAGCAGTTACCTCGGCCAGCTACCGGCGGCAACGCGTTTAGTGTAGTAGAGTCTTCATCAGGGCAGGCTGCAGGAGCTAGTTGTACGTACTTGCCTTAAGGGACCACATGAACCCTAAATGGGTTTATGGTTCATATGCCCTAGTAAGTAGGGATTATAGTAGTGTCGGGTATATAGGACCCCCAATTTTAGGGTGCAATTCGGTCCCTTTAAGGGCACATACCTTATTGTGATGGTCGCCCCCTTGACCGCAGGCTTAGGCCATTGCTTTGACCTCGCCCGCGTGGCGCTTGGCAAGTTGCCGCCCCCTGTCCGACCGGAGGCGCGGGGACAGAGGGAGTTGGGATCGGTTCTTTCGGTTCAGGCTTTAGGGTTTTGCAAATGTCATCGTGCC